AAAAAAATGTCATAATTACTATAAAAGATGTCATAATTGAGAAAAAAAATGTCATAATTACGAGATCCTGATCTCATACTTACGATAAAAGATGCCATAATTACAATAAAAGATGTCATAATTAATCCTGATCTCATAATTATGAAATAAGTTAAAGAGAGTCAGCTGATCTACATTACAGGAAAAGTGAACAATGACGGCACTATCACATTTTAAATGCTTTTATTTCCTCTTAGGTATAAAATATTGGTAAATATTGAGTTTACTTAATGGTGGATGGTGTTTTGTCTACAGGTTTATGAATAAATACATCTGCACACCAGTTAGAGTGTTCTGTTTAATTCAGCTTCGGCAGATTCGGCACAAACATAACACCATACTAACATACTGCCAGTTTCAGCAACTGGATATTTCAAAATAAGAGTCCGATTCAATACAAACCAAACATTACAGATGGCATTAAAATTAGTATGTCGACATTACACAGGTATCTTCCTTGCAGTTGTTCAAGCGAAAAGCCCACTCTGTCATACTGGAAGTCTCTCTCTTCCTGCAGTAAACAGCTAATGAATCTGAAATGCTTAAATTACGTCCTGTACACAAGGAACGCACACTTTGTCCTGTTTCAATCCTGCGGGTCACAACTTTATTAAACTCTGGTGAATAAACATTATACAGCTTGTTCTGGGCACTCGTGCTCGGCATTACACACAGTGTCCAGGACCGATACCTGCTCAAAATCCACAGGAGATCCTGATCTCGTAATTTTGACATCTTATCTCAAAATTACGAGAAAATATCTCATAATCATGAGATCCTGATCTTGTAATTATGAGATCAGGAGTCTAATTTTTTTATTTGGTGAATGCAATGCTCTTCCGTACGATCACATACTTAGTTGTGTGCTACACAAAAAAGGCCAGTTTTATGTTTTATAATTGATTTAAWAATAAAAAAAATGTTTGTTTTTTTCTTGTAGTTGCTGAGCCCTTCCAGACTCCTTTCGATATCTAATAGTGATTCCAGCAGCAATCCTGCAAACTCTCTCCATCTGATTCCTTCTTCATCTGCCTCTCCTCCATCCTCACCGTCGACCTCCACAATCCAACAGCTCAACAGCAACATCTGGCAGATGTGCATCCAGCTGGAGGGCATCGCCTGCTTTGCTCAGGCACTAGGAAGGGACTTCCGTCCACTGCTGATGACCTCACTGTACGCGGTGCTGGAGAAAGCCGGAGATGAGACGCTGCTGGTCAGCCAGGCAGCACTGAGCTCCATGATGGACATCAGTAAGGCCTGTGGTTACTCCTCCCTGAAGGAGCTGATCAATGACAACTCAGATTACCTGCTCAACGATGTTTCACTCAACCTGCAGAGGCTCAGTCAGCATCCTCAGGTGCAGACAGAGAGAAAAATGTGCACGTACTGTGAAAATTCATTGTGAATACTGCTGAATGACTTTGCTGGAAAAGAAAGGTTTACAGAATGAGGTGTAACTTGAAACTAAAAGCAGACATCTAAAAACTAAAATAGGGAAAATACTTGCTGAAAGCTAAAAATATGCAAAAGACTAGCTACAGGACAAAATTAACCTATTTTTTTCTTCTTTCTGCTACTTTCATTTTATTTGTGTTTTGTATTATTTGTTGTATGTCTAGCATTTGTTTTGTTTTTTAAATGAAATTAATACTTTTTTAAAATAAATAAATAAATATTGCTACTTAAAAGCAAAAAATATTAGCTAAAAGAAGAAAACAGCTAGCCAAAAGTAGAAAAGGTCTAGTTTATAAAATACGCAAAACACAAGCTAAAAGTAGCAAAAGTCCAGCTAAAAGTTAAAAGTAGAAAATTCCTAAGTTAAAGGTAAAAATAACAAAACACTAGCTAAAAATAGCAAAAGGCTAGCTAAAAGTAGAAAAGGTCTAGTTTAAAGGTAAAAAATAAAACGGTAGCTAATAGTAGAAAAAGGTTAGCTAAAAGTCAAAAGTAGACAAGGTTAGTTTACAGGTAAAAATGAAACACTAGCTAAAAATAGCAAAAGTCTAGCTAAAAGTAGAAAATGCCTAGTCTAAATGTAAAAATAACAAAACGCTAGCTAAAAGTAGCAAAAGGTTAAAACTAAACATAGCAAAAGGATAGCTTAACGCTAAAAGTGGCACAAAGCTAAAAGTAGTAAAAGTCTTACTAAACGTATGGAAAAAATGGCTAGCTAGAAGTAACAATAAAAGGTTTTTACAAGCTAAAAATCACAACATGTTTATTAAAAGTATCAAAAATATACCGGTAGCTAAAAGTGGCAGAATGATAGCTAAAATATAAAAAGCAGCAAAAGACCAGCTAAATATAGCAGAATGGTAGCTAAAGTAGCACATGAAGACAAAAAAAGCAAGAATTCTAAAGATTTTGTAGAGATTTTATTTTGAAGGAATTGAAAGGATCTCTGGAGATCCCTGGAGAGGAGGGTCCGTCGGATAGTCGAACCTCGGATTCAGGAAGAGCAGTGTGGTTTTCGTCCTGGTCGAGGAACACTGGACCAG